AAGCCCGGATCGTGCCCCATAACACATTACTACCTCTGTCCCGGAGTATTTGTCCATTTTTGACTTTTTTCGGTCAAAATTGACAAATTTTGACCCCAAATTAAATAAAAATGATATTAAATATTGATATAAAAATAGTTTTATGAGATTTATTATATAAAATATTTTCAAAATATTATTTTATCTTATTAATATATAATATAAATTTTATTTAATTATAGGTCAAAGGTTGAAATGATTTAATTAAAAAAGTCAAAACTATACCAACACTCTGGACGAAGTTAGTATATTCTTAGAGGATCCAAATCATTCTTTTTTCCATCAATCGCCCTCTACCTTCCAAACCCTAGCTGTAGACCTGGCAAAACGGTCGGTCAGGTCGGGTTCGGGTTCGGTATAATCGGGTTCGGGTTATTTCGGGTTTGGGTCACTTCGGGTTCGGGTCTAAGAGTGCTTGTTCATGACCCAGAGTTATCGGGTTCGGGTTGACCCAACGGGTTAAGAGGCGTATTTAAAAATTAAAAATTTTGCTATTTAGAGATCATGTGATCCAAGCATTATTCAAAACAAAGAACGAAATCATAAAAGTTTGCAGTTCTATTTGCAACATACCAAAAGAGAATTGCAATATACCCAAAAAAATCACCTTTTTGCAGCATACCAAAAAAACTGCACTAGATAAACAAAATTGAAGATTCTTTCAACATACCCAAAAATATATATACGTTATAAAAAAATTGAAATTCTTGCATCATACCAAAACAAAAGAAAAGAATTAAAACTTGAGTTACACGCAGGAGCAACTGAAGAGGATGAAATAGGATTAAAAATTCCACTATTATTCTGGTGTCTTCTCACCATTTTGATTGAGTTGGCATCTAATATCAACGAACGGTGGAAGAGTGGGAGAACTATATATATATATATATATATATATATATATATATATATATATATATATATATATATATATATATATATATATTACGCCTTTTGAGTTTTGAGTAGCCTAATGGGTATATCATATTTTAAATGAATATATAAAACTAAATAACTAATAAAAATAAACAATTAAGTGCATAACTCGTCGGGTCAAACCCGACCCGTTCTGACCCGAAAATTTAATGGGTCTTCGGGTTCGGTTCGTTTCGGGTTCGGGTTGCAAAATCAATGTTCAAAACCCACTAATTTTGGGTCGGGTTTCGAATTAGTAACAGGTCGGGTCAAATTTTGCCAGATCTAGCTAGCTGCAATGAAGAAGCAGCCAATCAGTCAAATATATCGTCGAACTGTAGCAGATAAATAATTTGTATAAACGTGATGAGTTTTGTGTAAGAAGTATGCATATTTTGTATAAATTAAATGTACTGATTAATAAGTAGTTCTCGAATGTGCATACATATATAAAATATGTATTGATATGTGTTGAAATATTGAAATGATAATATTGCTCATTGAATTATGAAGTACATGATAGAGTATATATTGGAGAACTTTCTAACACAAATAGAAATAGAGAATAGAAACTTATTCAAAAATAACATCTACCTTAAATAGGAATAAGAAGTTGACTTATAATCAAACACTACAATAACTTAATACCATTATTATTATTGTCTAACATTCCCCTCAAGCTGCACTCTAGTTGAAGCAAGAGGAAGCTTGGACACTAGCTAGAAACTGGAAACTTTGAGGATAGAAGTCTGACATGCGTCAGTGGCTACTCATGTCGTTAGAGAAGAGAGAAGTTTGAAGTGCGCCAATGGCTGCTGACATCGTTGGAGAAGAGAGAAGTTTGACGTGTACTGGTAGCTGCTAAGGTCATCGGAGAAGAGAAAAATCTGACGTGCGCCGTACGCAGCTGCTGACGTCTTTGAAAAAGAGAGAAAGGGTTGGTGTGCACTTGTAGCTGCTGACGTCGAAGAAGAACAAAGAAGGCTATTGAATGTGTCTGTTTGATTGAAGATCCTTGACATTCTTTTTTTATTTTTCTTGGATCCAGGCAATACCCTGTTTCTTTCTTGAAGGGTTGAGTTGTAAAGATATGCTTTCATCTTTCACTACTTCCCCTCTTGGCTTTGCTCCTGTGTTGATTTCCTTTGGATTTTTATTGGTTCAACATAAGAAAAACAGAAAGGAGGATGATGATTAAAATGAGTGATTTGAGAGAGAGAAAAGTGGTAGAGATAAAAAAGTGGGTTAAGAATTGGTGATGAAAAAAGATTTGCGTCAGATATTTTGATATGTTGAATTGGAGAGAAACAACAATTGTTTTTTTTCTTTTTTTTGAGAAGATAGGATGATTAGTTGAGAAAGGTTGTTTTTTGAGGAGTTGCTGATTCAAAAAATTAAAGGAAGACATCAGCTCGAGGGTAAATGAGATTCAGGCTTAGCCGGTAGTGGAGTGGTTGTGGATTTTGAGGGCATGTTTTCCTTCGGCGGTTTTTTATGGAAGATTCATGGAGATGACAAGAGGGAAGCTCTTACATTGACGGGTTTTTTTGTGATTTCAACACATTAATTTTTTTTCTTTTTCTTGAAGGGAGAAGTTAATTTGAAGATAAAAGAAGGAAAAGAAAATAGAAGGAATAAAGTGGATCCGCCGCTGGTGGAAGGAAAGAACTCTTTTAGGTCACCAATAGTGGTGGCTCCGATACCATGTTGAAATATTAGAATAATAATATTGCTCATTGAATTATGGAATACATGATAAGGTATATATAGGAGAGACTTCTAACACAACAAAAAATAGAGAATGTAGATTAACTAAAATACAACATCTACCTTAAATAAGAATAGAAAGTTGACATATAATCAAACAGTACAACAACTAATACCATTATTATTATTGTCTAACAATATGTATTGTGTTACTTGCAAATCAATAATTTACGGATGTACAATTAAAATAAAAAATATACATATAAAATAAGTGTCTTGTTAATTAAATGTAAATGAGTATTAATCGGATTTTAAAAAAACCCGTACATCGAGACGTACGGCATAAAAACTTTCCAATTAGAGTCAATCCCTTGTATATATCTTGTCATTATGGACAAATTCTTCTGTGGATCTAAGGTTCATGCTAATTTTATGGACATTAGTGAATTTGTAACAAAAAAAAGTGAGCGGTTTTTCAAAAAGAAAATATGTACATGTAAGTTAATGAAAAATGTGAGAAGATTCATATTTTATGTATAGATCTTGGGACGATGTAAGCGTCACTAATTTTGTTATGGCTTACTATAAGTGTTTGGAGATATATAAAAGAACCCAAATATAAAAAATCTGTACAAGGCCTTAATTAGACTTGACTTGCCGCCACGAAAGACAACTAATGGTTAGAGTTGTTTTGGGTTTGTTTACCACAGCCAGTCTTTCGGCCTAATTACCACCAAAACTAGCCCAACATGTGGTGCAATTCTGCGCTAATGCCACTAATGTATGTTCGCCGGATACGCCTCCTCATTTCTCAAAAGGAATGTAGGGTCCGTGGGCCCGAGTTTGATTCCTAAGAACTGCGCTGGGAGGTAACTATGATAAGCATAGAGCATCTGCAAGTACCAGGTGTATGTTTATTTTTTGCCACCAATCTACGATCAAAGTCTAATTTAACTCCTCTCAGTAACCGTCCGGTCGGATTTGAAGATGGCCTCGGGGATGGGGCTCATCCTTCTGAAGAAAATGTGGGATCTCCATATTCACTGTATACTTTACATACTGTTGTGTTTAGAGCAAAAAGTTATGAGATTTGGGGGCGCCTGGGGTGGGCGATTCCACCTTTCTTGGANGGGGGTAACACGGGTAAAAAATTATGTTTCCTTTTCACGCTTCTCTTCTCGTTGTTTTCATGATTATTGTCCTTGCTTCTTCCTTTTAGCATCGGTGACATCACCTTTTTTTCTTCTGTGAATTTTGTTTCAACTATTATCTTGTTCATTCTACGATAGGAGGCTCTATTTACTACTCCATCCGAGGTCCCAAAATGGCTTTAGTTTGATTTCACACAAAATTTAAGAAAAATAAAAATATGTGATTGAAAATGATGCAAATGAGAGAGAAAGAAAAGGATTTTGGGATGGAGGGAGTATTACATTTGATGCTCTAGATGTCTTTGTTATGGGTGTGATAAATTAATCTTGATAACATTTGAGTAGTTTTATGAATTCAAAACTTGTTGTAGTCAAAGTCTGGGTATAAATAACCTTTTCACATTTTGACTTTTGCGGGACAACGAAAGTAAGTTTAATAAAATTTAGCATCACATATACAAAAGTGCTTAAAATGATTTTAGTGTACGAGGCTCTGCCCTTAGGGCATAACTCAACAGGCAAAGACAATTGGTGAGCATTGCTGGCGCCTGACGATCGACCTACAGGGTTGAGCTTCGGACCCAGAGATGACTCCTTCGATTTGAACCCTTATTCATGAGATTAGTCGTGACAAAAATTTTGTTGTCATTGGCATTTGAGACACATCCCGCGATTTACCTCCTCCACCAACCTCAATGCATGGTTGTGGGAGAGCTCAGGATGGGGATTTGGTTTTCATAAGTGTACAAAGCTCTAAATTTTATAAGAGTGTGTTAAGGAATGTAGTAGGGTTTGTCGTTAACGGGCTCATTTTGAATCTAACCGGTTGACCACTTGCAAATGGACTCCCATCCCCTTGATTTTTTTTAGCGCCAACACCTAAAGGACCACGAGCCGCTGGGTATGGACTTCCAGACGAGCAATCGTGTTAAACTGGCCACGGACCGTTGGGTACATACAGGGGCGGACCCAGAAAATATGTTTAGTGGGTTCATAAAAATTTTAACATATACTCCGTACAAAATAAAGAAGACTAATTGTAATTAATATTAACTCATACAAAACACCAAAGTCATATTACATAACAAAACACAAACATTACAATAAAAGAAGATATAATATACTCCGTATTCTTTAAAAAAAAACTCCAACGTATAATCTAATTATCTCAAGGGAGATTAAGGTACGAAATACATAATTTGTAAAAAAAATCAAAACAGAGTGCAAAAAAACTCCAAAATATCTAGAATGCAAAAAAACTTCACTGCACGCTGCCACTGCCCACAAATTAAACCAAAGTACCTAAGGTGCATAAAACTCCATAGTATCAAAGGTGAAAAAATTTCCAAAGTATAATTTTGATTATCCAAGAGATATAAATCAAATAATGTTATAATTAGTATAAATCTAATTATTTAAAGTGCCTTACAGCCCTTAGTTACGGACTTACGGCCTCCCCCAACCTGCCACGCCGCCGCCCGCCGGCCACCTCCTCCAGTCGGCGAGTCTTCCGGTGTCTTCCCGCACGCCACCGCAAACAAAACAGAGGAAAATTTGTAAGATGGGAGGGTTTGAATTGGGTGCTGTGAGGCTGTGATTCCGTCCAAGCCTCCAAGGGATAAGGTGGCTGGGTGATTTTTTTTAGTATACCCAAAACGACGTCGTTTTGAGTATAAAATTTTAAAAAAAAATTTTTGGAGTGACTGCAGTTGACTCCACTTGCACCATAGTGGGTCCGCCCCTGGATACATACTCCATACGGACAACTGGACAACACGGGCCGTTAACGACAAACCCTACTACATTTCTTAACAGAGTGTTTATGCAGTGGGCGTTGCGAAGTTGGGAAAACTAAGACAATGAGTGCCAATGAGGTAGAATTGGGTTCCCTTTCTTTCAATTGCACTAGGAGATAACCATGTGAAGCATAAAGCTTCTGCATGTACGAGAAGATATCTATCTCTACTAAGCATAAGGCAACTGTCACCAACCTGTGATCAGATGTAAATTTACCTTCTCTTAATGACCATTCAACCAGGTCTGAAGGAACTCTCGGTGATGAGACTATGAGGGTATTTGGGTGTGATTAACTTGTGGATAAAGTAATTTTCACAAAAGTTGAAAGCAGAAATACCATATATTTGCTTTTCAGAAAAGATGTTCTATGTACAAAATGACGACGGAAAAAAATAAAATTATTTGCCAAACAGAATAAAATAATTAAAACTTAAAACAGAAGCTAAATTCTTACCGCATCGTCAAACACCCTCAATATCTTTTTTTTATAAGAATGATTCTTGTGCTACATACACGTACATTCTCATGTGATAAGTGGCCCCCCTTGAATGGGCTCACCTACTTGTGAGTAGTTTTTAGTGTAGGCCATGAAGAAGTGAATAACTACCAAAAATCTTCAATAGTAACTACCTTTGAGTATGTATGACCCATGCCACCACTTGGTGATCAAAACACTAAACCAACCAACAATTATGAGAGCAATGACTCCGGGCGGGATATAATTTGCAGCACAATTATCACATTATTAGGGTCAACTATATATCTTCACTTAACCGACCATAACAACGTGAACATGTATTCTCAATCAAAATCAAGAATAATAACTTCTAGTCCCAGGCCCCTCACCTTGGATATTATAGTGTAATGTTGTTAATCATGTCGGTCGTCGTCTCGTTTTTTCAAGTTTCAAAAGTTCATAAGTAGTTTTTGAAGTCTTCAAAAACATTCAAACTGAGTCCTTCACGTTTCTAAATACCACAAGTAGTCCTTCAAGTATTTATCAATTTTTCGAATGCAATTCTTTTTACGATACACATTAAAAGCTAAACAGGGTAACGTTGTTATGCCGTTGTTAGGGGAAAATGGTAGGTGAGGCCATAAGCTTAGGAAGTAATAACCCTTTGACGACTGTAACTAAAATAAATAATAATGCCCCCACTCAGCCAATGCTCTGTGATCTTCCCAGAAACTTATTAACTACAAGTGATTAACTCCAATGCCCACATCCATGCTCTCTTAAATTGATCAAATTAAAGACGATTTTGAATATATATATATATATATATATATATATATATATATATATATATATATATATATATATATATATATATATATATATATATAGGGATCGATTGACTTCAGTGAGATGATACCTTATGGTAAGATGACATGTTTCAATCAGATGACACAACACACAACACTGTCAATGGAAAGCTCACCAACTGCCAATGCAAAGCTCACCAACTGTCAATGAAAAGCTCACCACTTTTTTTTTAAATAAAAAAAGTTAAAAAAATAGCACTACCATTCAACCACCGGTCCACGGTGACAGTGGGGGTCATCAGTGGTGGTCATTGGTCATGGGGCGGTCAAAGTGTAAAGCTCATCAAATGTCAATGCAAAGCTCACCATCTCACAATGGAAAGCTCACCAAGGAATAATGCAAAGCTCACCACTTTTTTTATAAAAAAACTAATAAAATTGCACCACCAGTCCACCACCGGTCCACGGCGGTAGTCTGCAGCGGTTGGAAGTCAGCACCACTGCCCTTTGATTTTTTTTAAAATCATTTTCAACTTTAAAGTGTAGTGAGCTTTGTTGCTAGGATTTGTAAGCATTTAACCATGAAATTTTGAAAAAAAAAGTAAAGTGTTGGAAAATCATGGTGAGCTTTGCAGTGGACAGTAGTGGGTTTTGCAGTTATCAGTGGTGAGCTCTATCGTCATCTGACTTAAATATGTCATCTTACCACAAGGTGTCATCTCACCGGAGTCAATCTATATATATATATATATATAGGGAGCGTCTAAAATGACACCAGTTACTTATACACCAGTTGCTTACACCAGTTCGTTTGGGGTACCTACGGTATATGTATGTGTGTGTGTGTCTATATATATATATATATATATATATATATATATATATATATATATATATATATATATATATATATATATATATATATATATATATAGTAGTATCTTCTTAGCTACTTCGCCATAAATCATCATCCTCATTATGTTACTTGAATGGATCTAGCTAGACATCTCTATTTTAAGGCCCACCGGATATGGAGTTCCCTTAACTTCTCGATCTATAACTTTTATACATGATCATTTGTTCATTTTTTATTTTTATTTTGTCAAAACTGACAAACTTTGATTTCAAATCAAACAAAAGTAATAATACCGAGTATTATATATTGAAACTTAAATAATTTTATTAGATTGATTTTAAAAAATATTTTTTAAAATGTTATTTTATTTAATTAATACTATACATGCATGCATACATACATACATACATACATACATACATACATACATACATACATACATACACACACACACACATATATATATATAATTTTTAAATCTGAAAAGAACTATTCTAAAATAGTTAATTTTACCAAATAATTTTAACAATCACCCAACACATCTAATCGGTCAAACAAGCGAAATTGTACAATCATTCAGAACAGCTGACATAAATAGTTCAACATCCAAACAAGGCCATAGAGAATTAATGGAGAACCCTAGCTAGAGTAGAATAAGAAATTATGGTAACAATAGAATAAGGTAACTAAATGATATTATTATTTTATATCATATTATCACTATTATTTCTAATAGTTTTATAGAACTTTTCATGTAATTTCTAAATATTAAAATTTTATTTTTTATTTTGATATCAATCTTTAAACAAAATAAACTGAAATAACTTGAGATTGTTCTTTGTTTTGCGCAATTCATAATCTATTTAGAAATGTAGGGAGTATAATACAAGGTGAGATCTATTACCATCTAATCCCTCTATCCCTAAATAAACTTCCCTTTTTTACTTTTTGAGTATTTAAGAGAGAGATTTTTTTGTGTTGACTTTTCAAAAATACCCTTGATGTGATGTGTAAAAATAAGATGTGATATGTAGATTATTAGTAAAAAGGTATGATGTGATTGGTAAGGTATGAAAAAGTGAGGGGTAAAAGAGATTTTTTAAAGGAAAAAAGAAGTTTATTTGGGGACAAAGAAAAAATGAAAGAGGATGTTTATTTAGGGACGGAGGGAGTACTTTTTTTCTTTTAAGAGTAAGTTTTTTTGTATGCATTAAGTTCATGTTAATTTTATAAACATGTATATAGATAAAATGTCAAACACAACTCAATTAGAATACACTATATATATATATATATATATATATATATATATATATATATATATATATATATATATATATATATATATTCCACCAAAAGGCAACTTTAGGATTTGTCAAAGTTATCGTACAAAGATAGTATATAAAAAAGTATTGATAATCACATATAAGTGGGCGTGAATCGGCTACGCGGCATATGAACGATTAGACATGCATATATATATGTTTCAACTCTGCTTATTATATTGGGGTCATCTCTATGCCTATGGATGGGCGGCGAATTGGAATATTAACATCCAACACTAATGCTTTTCCTTTTGTTTTTGACTACATACCAAATTCTCTTAGAGTATAAAACATATTTCTTGGGCAAAAACATGTGAAGAGTTCCTTAACATTGTATCAAAGCATTGTTGATCAAAGGGTCACAAATTCGAATTTCAACGCTCTGTAGCTTTGAAAAATTTTGGATTCACGTTCTAATTTTCAAGCAGATTGATACACCTACACATGATAGAGTATTAAGATATACGTATCGAGTAATAAATATTTCTTAGACCATAATTACAAATTTGAATTTTTGATTGATGTGTTTGTTCCTTGACAAATTCACTTTTTTTAAAAAAAATATGTCAATGAACTAATTCAACAAAAGAAAATTTAAGCATTTGGCCAAATGTTTGGTCGAGATCATGCATTTCCATTCATTTTCAATGGTGTCATATGATTTTGGGTGAAAGACCAAAATAAAATCGATATCCATTCATGTTTTTATTTTCAAAATATGATATATAATGCCAACAGTATATGCCAACATGTATGTAACACCAAAAAAATAAAATGTCAATATACATTGTCATGTTGTTACAATGCAATAGTCATATTTTGAATATAAAAATACGTTATTCTAATTTTGGGGATAAAGACTATGTTTTGCTCATATTTTGGATAGTTTCTTTATTATTTTATATCTTTAGACTCTAGAATTAAAAATATTATACCCAATATATATTAAAGACAATGTAAACTATATTTTCTGTTCAACATTTTGATCATAACACATAATATTTTTTCCATAAAAAATGATCACTGTGCACAAAATTAAGCAAAATTTTAAGTTTTTTCAATTCATCTTACTTAAAGATTGGGATAGAATTAAAAAAATTAAATTTGCATATTTAATAAATACATTAAAATAATAATAAGAATAATAGTAATAATAATATTAATTATAGTAATAATTTGAATTCGAATTACATTCATTCAGATCAAATATATCAAATCTATTCAAATCGGATTAGATTCATTCAAATCAGATCAAATCCATTCAGATCAGATTTATTCAGATCAGATCAACCTTAAAGAATTGGGTTAAGATCAGATCAGCCGAAAAGAACAGAACCTTAC